ATGGGGAAACCCTGAACCATCTGTTTGAGAGCTGAGCCAGGCCCTTCTGCATGGCTCCCTGATCTCTGGACTCCACTTTGTCTGCTTATCATATCCAAGAGAGTGAAGAGTCATGGAAGGAGGACAAAGACTTTGATCCTTCCTCACATCCTTTGGAAAGGTCCACTATAGCACATTGTCCCCTGGATGCAGCCTTAATTGTTCTCTATTGTCTGTATCAGAGCTCTTCTTCCTCCCAGTGGGAAGGGATTAGTGGATGGGCCGCCTTGACTTTTCCCCTAAAATAAAGGTGAAGGAAGGGAAGCATGAATGGCCCATGATTCTCATAAGCATTCCCTTTGACATCTTTAAGGTAAGCTCAGTGCCTCTTTAAATGTGACATTTTAATGGTTTGAAATTTATGTGCACTGATAATTTTACATGTAATTCAGCTGCCATCAGAAGAAAAAATATTCGTAAGTCAGGAAATCTTTAAAACCAAAGAGCTTGCCTGGCAAGTGTAGCTCAATGGTTGAGTGTCAACCTATGAACCAGGAGGTCATGGTTCATTTCCGCGTCAGGGCACATGCCCGGGTTGCGGGCTTGATTCCCAGTGTCAGGCATGCAGGAAGTAGCCGATCAATGATTCTCTCTCATCATTGATGTTTCTATCTATCTCTCCCTCTCCCTTCCTCTCTGAAATCAATAAAAATATATTTTAAAAAATAAATAAAACCAAAGAACTTTTTCCTTGCTAGGTGAATCTGCTAATTTGGTTTGTTTTTTTTCTTTCCCAGTTAGAATACTTGATTAACAAGGAATAAAATTATCTCTTCCCCTTCTTTGTCCCCCAACTGCTGTTCTCCATTCCACTTTGACTACTTCTAAACTGCTGCCAAACATGTCAGGAAATCCATTAAATAAGGATCCCCAGCAAAGGACTCTCATGGCTTTATTTCCCATCAGTTATGTTGAATGGTGGCTGTACGTACACAATTGAGTTGGTTTCACCTCTCCCAATCAGCACATGAGCCAGGTCCCTCCTTTGTTTGTAGGAGAAAAAACAACAAAAACAGGCTCTTTCTTTTTTTCTTTATCTTGCTCTTTTTTTTAAATTTAATTTTTCTACCTAGGTAATACATTGATATGATTTAAAAATTGAAATAAAATAATAAGCCATGCAGAATACATACATACAGCTAAACAGAATTCTGTTTCAAGGTAGCTCTAAGCCTGCCGAGTAAGGACCATGAGTGAAGCTCATTGGCCCAAATTTAAAAATGTATGGACAGGAAGTTATTATCATTGAAATGAAAAGCTTGCCCACATGTCCAAGGAATATTGTGGGTATTTGATTCTTTTATGAATCTGGTGATGGATGAATGTGTGGAGATGGCAATAGAACAATATTAGAATGGTGGGTGGTAATAGGAGGAAATAGCATCATCATGTGTAGATACTGTTGGAACAAGTATAAGTAATGGTTATGTTCAGCAGTGCTTGCACATGTCCCCTTTCCAAAGGGCCTCTTCACTATGATGTAAAACTCTGGTTATAGACAGTCTTTCATATTAAATTTTTATGTTTTGTTAGAAAAAGAAACATACTATGAGAAATACTATATCCACATTTACCATGCCACCTATAGTAATAATTTGTATTACTTTCTCTTTCATTCTTACAGTGTTTCTTCATGCAAATACACGTAAATATAAATATGTGTCCTTACATAAAAGATAGCATATTATTGTCACTGTCCTATACCGTGTTTTTAAATTAACAATATACCCTGGAGATCTTTCTATATCACTACACAGAGAGAGCTCCTCATTTTTTTTGCTCATAGCTGCATAGAATTCTTTTGTGTTGATATACTGAAGTTTATTTAACCAATTCTCTTTAGACTAGGGGCCCAGTGCACGAATTCATGCACCTTGAAAGGAACTGTGGGCTGCGAGGCTGCGGTGGGCACAGGGGTGGGTCTCAGCCCATCCTCCACGCCCCCATCCAGCCCCTCCAGCAGCGGCCCTGGTCCCCTTTCTGCCGGCAGCCCCGCTCCCACCACTGCTGCTCCCACGTGCTGACGGCGCTGGTCCCACTCGCACCTGCTGACAGCGCGGAATAATTGGGGCTGGCGCCAGCAGTGGGTGTGAGTGGGGCCAGCACTGTCAGCGGGTACAAGCACCGGCTGCTGCCTCGATCACCCCTCAGGAGCAGGGGGAGGTGGAGAAGCCCTCAGGGGTGATCAGGGCCGGCAGCCGCCATTTGCACCGGCTGACAGCACCAAGTGATCGGGACCGGCGCCAGGTGCTGGCAGTGGGTGCGAGCGGCGGCTCCAGTGCCGGCTGCAGGTGCAAGTGGGCGGGATCACAGCGCGCAGGAGCAAAGAATTTTCAGTAACCACCAGAGGCTCACCCCGATCATGGCGAATGGTGCCCCACCTTAGTCTGGTGCCACCACTCACCTGCTCCACCATCCCGCCGTGGCTGATGCTCGCCATGTTCTGCGCGTGCCCCCTGGTGGTCAGCACACGTCATAGTGACCAGTTCTGCCGTTCAGTCTATTTGCATATTAGGGTTTTATATATATAGATATTATTTTGGGTTGTTTCCAAACTTTTACTGTTAAAACAATGCTTGATGAATAATCTTACACATAGGTATATGTATAGATGTATCTATAGAATACATTATCAAATATGGGATTACTGAATCAAAAGATACATGCATTTATAATATTGAATAATCTTGACAAATTATCTTCTTTAGGGATTTATACCATTTTGCATTTCTACCAGCAGGATATAAGAATGTGACAGGCTTTTCTGAATAGACTCCTACTATTAACTGGATTGTAGTGAGCTATGATATTTTACATATTAGTCAACAGAAAAGCAAAAGAAACAAAAATAAGCGAGCTTTGTTGGAAACAATGGTATTCTTATGCTTCAAAGAACAAGACATCAAACTGTATGCTGTATCTAACCTCTGTTTTAATTTTTTTTTTTTTAACAGCATAGTTGTTGCCCAAATCTTTTGGTACAGAATGTTTTTGTAGAAACACATGACAGGAATTTTCCATTGGTGGCATTCTTCACCAACAGGTTTGAAATTTTTTATGATATAACTATGAAATTGTGACTTTAAAAACAATAGAAGAAGAAAAGAAACTAGAGAGGGACAGGGATGGAAGCAAAAAAAGAAAAGAAAAATATGAAAAGATATGTGCTATGGCCCCTAATATCTAGTACTCTAGAATATTCAGTTATCCCAAACTCTTCCTACTCAGCAAAATTTGAAACAGCTGAAATTTCAATTCTTATTTCCTTTTAGAGCTAATGCTTGAAAGGGCTAAGGATGGCAGTTCTCACCCTGTTCAATTCAGGGGATAAATGATGCAAATTGCTACATGGGCATAATGTCTACACTCAAATACCACACTGCAGGCCTCATCACATCACCAGGTTCCTTCTTCGTAGATATTGACAGATTTCTTCTTACTTAGGATTTTAGCACATTTGAATTAAAACTCAAATGATTATTCTTTTAATGAAAGAGCAGTCCTAATGGGTGGGTGTCAGAGAGAATAAACATATTTTTGAGGATGGTTAATGATGTTAACATGAAAATTAATGTAGTCAAGTTTGGTTTATTCAGGGTAATTTATTTATTTTTTTAATTTCTACTTTCTAGGTATGTGAAAGCAAGAACAGAATTAACATGGGATTATGGTTATGAACCTGGAACTGTGCCAGATAAAGAAATCCTCTGCCAATGTGGGGTTAATAAGTGCAGGAAAAAAATATTGTAAATGTTGGAGCTAATGCCTGTTCATGAAATTAGCTTTTCAAGCTGAAATTAGAGCCATAGAAAAGAATGCTCAGTTGTCAATGGAATTTATGATTCATGAAGAGAATTCCTCAGTCTGCTCTTGTCAGGGAGTTCATTTGTGTGACTTAGAAATGCTAGGAACAAAATAAGGACAGTTTCATACACATAGGTTATCTCTTGATTCTTACCGTTATTCAACTTTACATGAGTAAGATGGAAGTGTGTCTTTTCTATGAAATACTGCTATATAACTTGTAATTTATTTGTAAGCTATATATTAAAAGAAACAAATGTTACAATATAATTAAGTTGTTCTTAATTGTTTTTTTATTATTGTCTTTGAGTTCATGGATCCAAATGGCCACATTTCATGACTTTACCTACAAAATTTATTTATGTTTAATTCCTGGCAATAGCGTGAGGAATATAGCTCCACGAAGTACTGTCGCATTAAACCACTTGAGTGAGAAAGGGTGAGAAGCCCTTCAATAGGGAAGAGTTTGGCAAACTCTTTGAGGTAAAACTGCTTTCCAATAGATTCTTGTTGTTCCTTTAATACAAACACAGACAGGAAAAGAGGGAATAGAAACCTAGAGGAATTGGAAGATATTTGTTCTAGATTGAGCCATAAGAAAAAGAAAACAGGAAATTAGTCAGACTTGGCTTATTTAGACTAGAAGAGATTGTGCTGGGCAAGAGTTTCATTTAAAAAACAAAACAAAACAGAACTGAGCTTCAAGTTTGAAACATCCTTTTGCATTCTCCTGAGCATGTTGTGCAAATTGGTTTTCTAGAGAAAAAGGGAAGGTTACCTAGCGCTGACCTAGTGGATAGGGGGCTAGAAATTTCCAATAGTCAAAACTAATTTATCCTTAACAAAGATGTACTGTACTGTATATTCGGCTGTCAGGAACTTACCCCCTTGAAACCAGGATGGGAATACTAGCTCAAAAAGGAGTAATTAAAAGGTCTCATTTTTGAGAGATCATGTTGTTTTTTGGGTTTTCTTTTTTTTTCCTGAACTTGAGGGGTTTAGTTTGGTTACCTTTCAAAGTTCATTCTAAGTTTAGACCAAACTTAATTTCTTTAAAATACTGAACTAGGTGAAAATTTAACTTGAAATTGTTTTAGAGCATGGGGAACCAAAGAACGAGAAAGAGAGCAAAAAAGTATAACTCAACAGCCTATAGATTGATGAGAAAAGTTGAGCAGTCCATTTATTCACAGTAAAGATGGCAGGAATTTTAGGCATTGCACTAAAATGAAGTGAAGACACTTGATCAGCATGGGAAATATTTTTGTGTAGAAATCCTGGTATCTTAATCTGCTTCAGTCTGTGTTGGTTTACAGCTATCATCTTCCATCAGTGTCCTAGAGAGACCCCCTTTTTCTCTCCTGTGTCAAATCTGTTTCCAGTTATATCTATTATTTCCCATTTCCTTGGTTTACTTCCACATATTGGTGAAGCACATCCTTCAATACCTTTTGAAAAGGAAAAATGAGAGGTAAATATTTTGAGACCTTGCATGTTTGAAAATATTGTACCACTACACTTGTTTGCTATTTTGACAAGGTATAGAATTCTTGTGTAGCCTTTATTCCCAATTTTGAAGGCATCTGCTAAACTTTCAGTGTTGCTGCTGGTAAGTTTGAAGACATTCTTGCTTTGATATCCAGGGTGACTATTGGATGTCAGATGCCATTCTGTTCTTTTTGTATATACAACCCGTTTTTATCTCTCTAGAAGCTTATGTTCTGTTCCTGGTAAGGGTTCATTTTCATCCCTTATATGGGGTGCTTGGTGGGGTCTTTCAAACATTGTCCTTAGGGAAATATTTTCTTTAATGACTGCTCATCTGTTCTCTCATTCTAGAATTCCTGTTACCCAGATAGTAGACCTCCAGGATTGGTTCTCTTATTTTCTTATCTTTTCTCTTAATTTCCAGCTCTTGTCTTCTAGCTCTACTTTCTAGAAGACTTCATCAACTTAATTTTCTAATTAGTATAATATGTTTTATTTTTCTGGTCTCAGATTTTTTATTTCTAGGGCTCTTTTTTCTTCCCTGGATGTTCTTTAATAGTATCTTTTTTTGGTTCTTGGTTGTAGTATATCTTTGAACACATACATTTATATTTTCTTCATGCATATTTTTGTGACCGCTAAGTTTCATTTATTTGTTTTCCCTGTATGTTTCCTTTGGTCTTTGTTTTTTTGTGTGTGTTACAGGCTTTCCTCAGTGATGATAGGGTCTACTACTGCTTAAGAGTAGAACACTAAAATGCTAGAATGATAAACTGAGAGTGGTGGAAGGTGTTTTTCAAATGCTTCACAATGACTTAGCTAGCTAAATTATTCAGTCTCTAATTCAGTTTCTTTAGGACTTCCTGTTTGCCTGGCAAGGAGTAAAGGCCTAATTCTGAGATATTACAGTTTGGTAATATACCGTAATGAAGCGAGTATCATAGTAAAGCAAGTGGTAATCTTTTTGCTGATGGAAGGTCTTGCCTTCAATTTGTAAAAAAAAAAAAAAAAACCCACAAATCTCAACACCTGTAAAGTGCAATAAAGCTAAGCGCAATAAAATGGGTTGTGCTTGTAATTCTTCTATTCACCTGCTTGAGATGCAATAAACTTGGCTGTAGGAGTCCCTCCCTTTTTTTCTCCTGTTTTGCAGCCCCATGCTCTTGCTTCTGCAATCCATTTATGTATTTGTCCAGACTATCCAGCTTATCGTTTTTAATATTCTCTTTTCTGCTGTCCCCAACTTGCCTCTTTTCCTCTTTAAAGTTTGCTCACATTGTAAGATCTCCAGAAGTTTTCTTTTAATTCCTCAGCAATTCACCTTATGTGCTTCTTTTCCAGAACAACTTACTTTCAACTGTATGTTCTCTACCGGTATATTTGTTAACATGCACTGAAAACCTCCTCTTGTATGGTGCTGTGTACCCCATGGGTGCTAAATAAAGGCTTGCAACTGGTAACTGCAGTTACGGTTCGTTAATTGTGTCCGTTTATGATATGCCTGTGTAGTATATCAATTTAATAAAAGTGTTAAAAGAAAGGTGAACCTCTCAGAAAAGCGGTCATTTCTCCAACTGAACACAGGGGCTTTGGGCCCTTGCATCCTGGGAGGAGAATTTAAAAAAAAAAATTCAAACTCGAATCTGGAGAAGGTAGGGGGCTCCTGTCTGGCAGAGAAGCCGATCTGCAAACCCGGGGCTGGGTTTCGTTTCTCCTCCCGGGGACCGGCTGGGTTTCGTTTCTTCTCGCCGTCGGGGAAACTCCCCGGGCGTGGGGATGAGCCCTTCCGGGCTTTCGGGAACTCGAGCGGCCGCGGGCTTC